ATGCCCATTGCCTAATCTTTCTACACTTGTGCTTAAAATTACCTAAGATAGATGTACCTGAAGCCATGTATTTTTGGGAGATCATTTGGAATTCTCCTCTCTTTTGTTCAAAATAGAACTCCACTCATTACGTTAAATTTTTAAATAGTACTCACTTTATTTGTTTCCCGTAATTAGTATCCACTTTTTCTAATTCTTATGAAAGTAGAACAAAGTTAATAGCTTAACGACACGGCAGCAAAATGTGATACCTTTCACGCGAGGGTCAGGGTAATTGTGCGTAGAAAACCCCGGTTCAAGAGGCAGTATTTTACCCTTTGTTAAAACAATTGGCGGAAAAGCTTTAAATAAAGCCAAGGTATCATTTAAAAAATACTCCCATTCCATAATACATTCCAAAAATTCTCTCATCAGAGTATATTTCTTAGGTTTTAGTTGCTGGCGAGTACCCATAATTAGTTTTGTGGACTTTCACTATCACGTCATTTTACGTAAACCGACTCACAGCTGCAAAAAGAAAGCAAATTTTCAATAGACCCCGGATAGCGAAGAAAAAGGAGGCAAATAATGCTGAACTTGTGGCTGAACCTTTGTAATTAAAAGGATCATCGTGAACAACCGGACACTACTGTACGAAATCACAGACTTATAATCTCACACGTCAAATTCCTCCATATTTTTCTTCACACCAATTATGGAATGTTTAATTTCATATTAACGGCAATTAGACCCATCCTAATAAGTTTAAGGCAGCCAGGAAAAGCAAAATTTGACATCACCTTTGATTGCTGGCTCACTTTGAACTGTTATTGCTTAACAATGAAGGCACCAAAGGCCTATGTCTAGCGATCGGCGTGACATAAGCAGACTTGTTTTTAATCATCTGCTCAGATATCCAAATAAAATTGCAGTCATGTCGTATAAACTGAATAATTTTGTAAAACTGCTGTGGGACATTCTAATCATGTTGGAATGCATTTATTAATGTCCTCAGTTTCAAACCCTGATTATAAAATTAAGATTTCATTTAAGTGAAGCTTTGCCTATTAGTTCAACAATATGATCACTTTATATGCTATATCACTTTTGCAATTAGTTGTAAAAAAATGACAGTCCTATATAGGTTTCTAAGCAGAATTCAGTGTGTATTATCGCTCAATTCCACCCGATCTTTGGTAAAACCTTAAAGTAAAATTAACAACAAACTGTAAATCATATTACTTACAAAAAGAAGCGGACATTAGCAGAGTGACTGATGTTATCTGCTGACAAAAATAGTATCAATGAGGGGGTGAGAGTGCAATCTGTAGATGATAAGCATTGGAAATAGGAGAAAATGCTACTTGCCTCTATTATTTTAAGTTTGTTGGTAAAATTTCTACTACTGAAGTTATCCTATCTTATAACAGCCTTGATAAGCTAACTAGTAATAAATCCATTAAGGAGCATCCTATTTTCTGATTTTGGCTTGTATTTGAGGACAATTTTTGAAAGTTATAAACACACGATTAACTACTGAATTAACAAATCGAAGGAATTGCAGCCAGAAGGAATTCGCAATTCAGATCAAATCTGATAATACTAGAATGATATAACAGTGCTTACTTGAACACCCTTTGATGTACCGCAAAGCCTTTTTTCGTTATTTACGAAAACTGACATTTTTATCACGATTATTCAAATTACAATGGTTGAGCTTTATCGATATTTTCTCAAGTACAGTTGCGTTTGGGAATAACAACTTAGAGAATCAAGAGTAATTGGGGATAAAATAAAACAATAAATTGATACTTTAGAAATTTACAGGGCTACTCTTTTCTGAAAGAATTACTTGGATGCAAAAATTTTGTCTAATGCCACCGTACCTGCGGCCGCTTCACTAACATTGACAAATCAAGTCTGAATAAAGAAGTTTGATAAGTGCCTCTTTCCCGTTATAAAATTTTTAAATGTCTCAAACATTTGTCCATACTGTTTTAGTTTTGAGAAAGGATAGGTATGCAGATTATTGTTGTAGTTTAAAAAATCAAGCCAAATTAGTCAATTTAATTCCACGTTCCCATGGGCACACACTTTCGAAATAGATAGCCATGCGGGGATTCAGCAGGTGACGTCGCATAATATGCCACCTTTGCACATCCAAACTCGAGACCTTTTATTCATTTGGGTCTGCAATTTTTTAAGTATTTGGAGATGGCGTAAGAGTAGGATGATTGACGAAATCGGTTAGCTTTATTGGCAGGTAAGTGTGGATGCGTGAATTGTTCTTGACTGAGGTGAAAAACAACTACAAGTGCATCCTCCACAAAGGTAGTGAAAGCAGGTGTGTCAGTCACAACTTGGTGTAAACAACACCTTAGGGTAGAGAATGGAATTTGAAGAGCTTCGTATTAATACTCAGTTAAATGGAGACGTCATAGAGACTGTAGCTTGCCTGTTCACTCATACGATCACTAAATCTATGAATTCGTACAGTGAAACTTACTTATAATCTGCTCAGGTAAACAACCTCCTTGAACATAACAACGTCAATCAGCAAAACGCATTTATGCAACATAAACTAAAGATTACGGTTTTGAGAAATATAAAACAATGAACCGAATCATTCAAAAATATAACAGCTGGCTTAAGTGCTTAACAGGCTAGTACTTAAGCAAAGTAGCAAGTAAAAATACATCAGGCTCACAAATAGTGCTTATACCTAATATTTAAATAGCCGCATGTTTCACGTTTTTTATACTCTTATTATAAGTGTCTTCAGTTAAACATAAAGCATCAGCGCCCTCGGTGTTTAGGCATTTAAATAACTTCAGTGGAAGGAGAAGAGTTTTGTGGATGCAAAAAAGCACTCAGTTTTGTGAGCCATTAAAGTCTATTTCAGTAGGATATATTTTAGAAGGTCTACATGTGAAAGTGTGCATATCTGCTTAAGCTTGTCTTGAGACCCGTCTGATGCAGCTGTGTGCATGAGGAGGGACTTGATACACACGAGTTAGTGAAACGGCCGGTTAAAGCAATTAGTTGTGATCAGTAAAGCAGTTGGTGGTGAGAATATGAAGTGAATCTTCTCCAAGTTAAACATTACCAATTCTTCAATCTCTGAAATAGATGCAAATTGCATAGGATAAATAACTGATCTAGAAACATTGAAAACAGTAGTGGCTGATGTTTGCTACCAGATTTTAGGTAAACATGGCTATAGAGTTTCCAATTAGACGAATTTTTACCTTGCACCTTATAAGAATAAATGTGCGGGCATTTTCAAAATGCGTTTGATGATACACACATGCTTGCGTGCAAACAAAGGTAATTATATTTGAAAATTTTAGTATTTTGGTTGTTTTGGTAAGCCAATCCTTCCATGCAAAATGGGAAGTTTGTTTCAACAAAATGAGTTGTTACTGGCTTGGGAAAACAACAACACTTTGAGAAAGAGGAAAATGGTTGGCCATAATGATTTTAAAAGTAGTAGTCCATATCAGTTTATTTCCGATCTATATTCCTGCATTTAATAAACTTTAAACCTGTTGCACAACAATATGGCACGTGGGAGGTGTGTTTTCTACCATGGTCACGTTACTAATCCTTAATAGGTAAAAGGTATGATTCCAGCAGACACAACGACAGCCTGCAGACAGCTTGCCAGACACAAGTGCGCACGCACGCCTAAAAGGTGTCTGATTCGACTCTGGGGCAACCAAGGGTGGGTTGGTACGCGTTTGCGTGTGTGCATGGTCGTGGTGCAGGAAATTTACCAGGCAGCCAGCTTTTTGAAGTCAGCCTGTCTCACAACCCATAATAATCTCTTCAACACACCGAGCTTGCACGTAAATGAACTCATGAAGACAAAGCAGATTGAAGGCTTATCCTTAGCTTAACTTCCTAAATGTATGAGCGATTTGGAGGCTTTTTGCAATGCTATGAATGCGAGATGCCAATCTATCATTTGTAAGCCTTAAATAAGGAAACCAATACCACTACGCTGATAGTCCTTAGTGTGGACTTTTAATTAGGTTTATGTCCTAAATCCCAAATTCATTGTAACTGATTTCTCTATTCTACAACCGACTATGTACGTCTTACTTATTAAATAGCTGTATTTCAAATATGGAGACGTAGTCAGTTGTGTTCACCGTTGATGGGCATGTGTGGACTTTTTAGACTACACAGAGGTATGCCTGCAAAAAAACAAGGAAATCGCATATCTAACTTGATTTGAGTCATCCAAATGAGATTATTAAGACGATGATTTTAATTGAAAACTTTACCGCTTTCTGTATACAAATACATGTCCGCGAGCTAATGAGTAGTGTATAGAATTCCAAGGGTAGGGATCCTACCGCACTACACATCCGTCTAGTCTCAATATTTTTTTTCAATTGTACATCATATGGAAAATTCTTCCGGCACTTTTAAATTTTTTAGTAGAATTGTAAACAGAGTTTGATTATTATATCAAAAGTCTTGGACGGTATAAGAAATATTTATAATATGATGCCGAGGCATAATATGCTCGTTTTGCCTACAAATTATCAATATTTGAATTTTAATACCATTGTAAACCCAAAAATTAGACGCGCCTTTTGTTGCCAGACTTGATTAAAACACTTCATACTGACCGGTGGGCGTTTATGGGTGAATCTGTTTCACCTGAGGTGATTTGAGTTTGCATTTACCGCAGGTAAATGCATAAACGGGAACAATTTTTTTTCAGTAAAGTACTAATTGAACAAATAATTTTTCTTAAATTTTATTGAAATGGTTAGCTACATACTAAACTTAAGGTGTAAATGAAATCCACTCTAGACATACTGAAAGAAATCATTGAAGAAGCATGTGCTTGTTACGGTGAGAGCGCATTCCAATTAGGTACCTTCCAAGCAGCTCGAGTAACTGAAGCAGATTTGTATATGACATTTATTATTCAAAACAGGGTTTGTGATCCACACTGTAGCTATTAGACCGATGGGAGGAACAACTGGGACTCAGCTTGAGACCCGCTAGGAGAAAGCGTGGGGCACAGGCGATGGCGGTGAGGGTAGGTTAGCATGGGGCGTGAGATAGGCACGCAAGCATCTCGTGCGTGCGTATGCGCATGCGGGCAGGGAAACAGTGGCGGCGCGACACGACGCTTTTGAAGTCTCGTACAGGGACCGACAAACACATACACACACAGAGAGGAGTGGGCTTCCGTCCGTTAAGTGCGCGCGTGCTTTGTGCTCGCATGCCCTCTCCAAGCTCCCTCTGTGGGTGATTTATCGGAGTGAGCAAGGTCTTTGCTTGCACATACACACACACACCCTCTCTATTGCATGCTCGCCCATGATTGTGTGTGTGTGTGTGTATGTGGAGGAGAGGTTATGGGGAGGGTGGCTGCGGCAGTAAGTTGGTATTTTTCGATTAGAATTACAGAGCTGTCTAACGGAAAGTTTCTTATTTCTGCCTGAGTGGGCTCCAGCAGCACCCCTTTGGACCAAATTCCATCCATCTAAAGAATTATTTCCCTTGCTTTTAAGAATGTAATTATATCACCAATATGAGTTATCGGATGCCAATTTTGTTTTGGAACCCTCGTGATCCGATCAATCCGGTGGCATTTTAATGATTAAAAATAGGATTATCGTATTATGGTACTACTAGATTATCTGCGCATAGTCTAATTGTTTGCTGCATCTAAATTGGTAGTCAAAATCGGAACAGGATGATGAGCAGAGTAACAGGCTGACGGAAAAATTTATGTATAGACGTCTAGCCCCATGTTTGACGAAGGCGTTCCTCAACCCGAAAATTGCGCAAAAAAATTGACTTCAAAATCGATTTGAGTTTCCCTCTAAATGAACCAGAATGCTTGCAGCTTTAATTGTTTGAATGTTTGGGTACGGAAGACTAACGAGTACTACTTGCTTAACAAGGTAAAGAACAAATACTAAGCCTTAACCATTTTTACCTTAGCATTTGCCCTTAGCAATTTTGGCGCATTAGTTAATGTAAATAAAAAACTTGTTTGAGGATACTGGCAATGAAAGTTTGATTCCTACCATTTTTTTAATATAAAGGCATAAACCATCATAACGTATGCAAATGCGTTTGAGTTGGCTGATCTTTGGATTTGATATACATCACGAAATTTGTTTAGCAAATTCACTAAATAGAATTGTTCTTCCCAAGCTTAAATAGCAATCGAGAATGTAATGAAATAAATTCAGTCATAGACAATTCAAATATTTGCTTCAGCTTCTAAATGATTAATAACAATATCAGAAAAATAAAATGGATCATATCAACAGAATGGAAGCCAATTTTAGTCATGTCACCAAATTTAGTTGATGAAAACAATTTCGAAAATTTTACAAAAAATGACATTATACTTGATAGGATATTCCAGATGAACATCCTTCGTGAAAGGGAAATCTGACCAACCAGTCCTCGAAATTCACACGTTGCACACAGAGACAAGCATCTACAGACACATGCACACGCAGGATTCCAAATCTTATTACGTAAACTTTTCTCAGAACGCACTTTTGTGTAAAAATGCCAGTAAACGTCCTACTGAATAACCATATAGCCTAACATAAAGTGGAAAAACTTCGAGCTAGCCAAGTAGATCGATTCTAAATTAAAGAGACTTTTCACAAAAATGTGTTATTCGGGTAGATTGTAGCATTGCTACACGGTGACAACTGCCGTGGGTCGACCACTAGATCAAACATTCTGGCAAAAAGCGTCCTTTGTTGATGGGGTCGATGAATTCGGGGTTACTAGGGTCAAATTAGACACTTGGGTAAGTGTTATTACAAAAATAAATATAAAAAGTTTTGTTACGTGAACAATCATCCACATAAAAGTCTTATTATTTTGTCGTCATCGTTAATATTACCAAAATTTTTAAAAAGACCTCTAATTTGCTCTTGAAATTATTAACTCCAAAGTGATAAGTGAAAGGCATTGGCATATATTTGACTGAAAAAATTCATGCATCCCAAATTGCTTTAGATATTCAAAAAAGTTGAAGTTACGAATTGGTAGCTATTTTAAGTAAGCTTAATGACTAAATTATCGGAACTTATTTTAATAGCTTTATTCGGAAGTCTTCATTACTAAAAACGCAATCATTCGATCTCTTGATTAACATAAACTATTACTATTAGGTTATGGTAAATATGTTGCACACTCATCTTTTCTAAAATATCCAGAAGCAAATGGATGCAATCTATAATCATGTTAGCGGAAGCGATTATGTTTGCTTTTAGCTAAGCAAAGCAGTAAGATTCATTTGAGGCAAAAAATTACCTTAACTACTCAGTGTTCGTTTTATTCAATAAAAGTCGAAGGCCCCTCTGTTGGGATTTTACCATGCCTAAGAAGCAAAACTTGTACTAAAATATTTCCCAGTTACGCATAATCGCTTTCATCTCTTAGAATTAACGTAAAATGCAAGGAGCTGTAAAAATTACTGCGTTATAAAGCAGGTTTTAAATCAATAATAATATTTGAAACTAACTAAAACTTGGTCGCGACCGGGTGGTTTAAGAAATACGGTATGATCAAACTCATGAATAAAATTAAAATAGCATCAAGATTTGACAGATTTATTTCCTATCTTGACATTGCTATTGATGGGAAATAGCAGTAGTTTACTATAAAATGAACTTTATAAAGCTAGTTTATAATTTGCAAGAGGCGCAAGTGCAATCTTATAAAGGACAAGAGAATGAAATTTGTATGAATTGACATCAGAAACCCGGACTCCAAACCAATGAAAAATCTGAGAATCACAGAGTTTGCTGACTTGTCTTCCATTAAGGTCTCATAAATTACAAAACCACATGTAGACAATGTAACTTGATTACTTTTCTTTGTCGTTTTATTTCTCAATCACAATAACTCGAACCTTGCCATGAAGATAGTTTATAAGAAAAGTTATATTTTTGATTAGTCCCCTAATTATGAGGGCAAAAGTGAGGTTGTAAAAGCATTTATGGGATTATGATGATGGCTAAAACAAGGACCAAATAATTGTGTATGTCTAAGGACCTGAATTCGGTTTTATTTTTTCAAGAAGTTGAAGCCTTAAACTTAGAATGAATGGAATAAGACGTCACATACTTATTAGGGTGGTGCTAGTCCGCACGTAATTTAGACGTGACGCAGAAGCACGCGACTCGAGCGGAGTGACTGGCCGATGTGTGAGCGGAGAGGGCTGTGCTGTTGCCGTCGGCGCTACCGTCGTCACTGCTGCTGGCGAGAGAACGAGAACGAGGAGGACGTCTCTGCTGTCCATTGGCTGTCCGGCTTTGATGTATCCCGCCGCTGCCGCCGACACTAACACACACGCAGACAAGCAAGCAGGCAAGCGGCAAACAACCTGGCTTGTGTGCGCACGTGCGCCAACACCCACGCCTACGCAAGCGAGTAGCATCTCTGCCTCCGCCTTCTCCTTCTCCTTCTCCATCAAATCCTTGTAAGACGGAGGAAGGCGGTGTCAATCCCATGTCTTTTCTCACTTGGTGTAAAATGGGCCGACAGCAACCTTTTTTTCTTTTTTCGTCACCATCTATTCCATAAATAAAAGGCACCAAACACTTGTTACAAGTTAGGGAAAGTTAAGTGATCTACCGGACAGAAACATAAGGTAAAAGATCACAACTACTTCATTAACAATCCATTTTCTTTCCATGTAAATTAACACTGAAGTCCAAAGCGTAGATATAAAAGAGAATGCACCTTTACCTTGGTAATGATAGTAAGTAGACCAAAATTACAGGCTTAGTTTTATTAAAGGCTATGTCAGCAATATACGAGTGATTAGTTATGAGTAAATAGAGTAGAAAATTAAAAATTAGCGAGTACGATCAGCAAATATGTTATTTAACTTGTGACAAAATTTTGAAGTTATTTAAAGCATACAGTTCGACAACAAGTCCCAAGTAAATTTCAAAAAGCGAAGTTTTGGGTATGATAGTAGTATTAAGGAATACTCGATTTTCTTAATACAAAAATGCGTTTTGTTATGGCATTTCCCAACTGAACTTTTCTAGTTAAATTTTTCATTATTAACGAAGGTCTTTAACAAGAACAATATTTAAATCTCATAATATTGGATGTAATTGAAAGTGGACTTCGTTGGGACTGCAAACAAGTAAATACAAATAATGTATTAGAATTACACTAATAAAACGCCAAGAATTTCAAATTTTGACAGAGTTGTTTTAAAAGTACTAGTTAATTATAATGTCCAAAGAGAAGTTTTCCTTTTAATCGTCATTATAAAAGGAGTCTCTTATGAAAATTGGATGATATTCAATCAAAGAAGCACTTCTTTCTGTCAAGTAAATTAAAATTTATATGATTAAGAGAAATTACATGGGAGTTCAAAAGCGGATCCACTATAAACTTAAGCTTCACCATTTTCAGTCTCATACATTCTAGGGCGTATCCGTTTTATACATTTTCTAGTTTTATTTTTGTCTTTATAAGAATTAAAACCAAAATTAACTAACAAATAACAACAGGAGTTAGATTTGGCAAAATCCCATGATCATTCACTTTAATTAGACCCGATTGACACAACTTCTTTATCGTCCATACAAAGCGATTTATCTATTTAATAATTTTTTATCGATAGTCATAAGCCATGCAACCAGGAATTTAGCATAACAATGTGAAAATATTTTCCTAATGTCTTCTTGTTAGAATAGTTGTAAGTTTTCCATCAACACAGCACTTCACTTTAAAGGAAGAAATAATCTTAGTTACTCTTGTATTCTAAAATTGTACAACGCGATTGTCTCAAGAAAGTTAGCTTTTCTTAAAAAACCCACTTTCTTGTAGATGCAAAATAAAGGACAATTGAGTTAATTTAATGTACCAATGAATGATTATCTCTAGACCACTCGATTTGTCATTCCGTACAGGCTTTGTGGTTGATATACTTCATGAAGAGGTATTGACGAACTGAAGTGAGCAAATGCTCTATTTTCCACTTCTTCTTAAATGATAATTTTAAAAATAATTTCCTTTGAATGTGCCTTAAATCCGACTAAATTGATACAGGGAGGGGTGTGAATCTTTCATGGGGTTGTGCGGCTCTGGTCAGGGTGTGTGTAACCTTTGTCGTTATTCCCCCTACCGATTAGGTGGTCTAGAAATTCTGCTCTTGAGCTTTTGCTGGATTCAAGTTGGATAGCTATATTGTATTGAGTATTTCAGACGCAAATTTTACCTCCATGCCTTCGGTTTAATTCACAACATGAATTTTACTACGCAGTACATTTGTCAGTGCCTTATAGTTAGTGTGAAATTCCCAAATAAAGCATGGTTGGCATCTAGCAGAGGCATATGCTCATTACGATGAAGCTGGACAATTGTTGCAAATACTAGTCATGAATGGTTAACTGTAAAACACAGAAAAAAACATCCGATAATTTTTGCAAACTTTGAAGCATTAGTAATGTCTGAAGCAAATCAGTAAAAATTTGTGTATTTTATAATGGGAAAATAATAATAAAATCGAAACGTAAGTGCAATTATCCTTTCATTTTTGACATTGCTTCTTTAAATGGGCGTGGTTATGGCACTTTATGGGTATAAAAATATATGCTTTTAAAGCTAATGCCCTAAATTTAAGATAAAACTACATAATTTCACTAAGCAAAATATTTTTAACACACTAAAACACTCAAGCAAACGTATGAACTGCAAATAAAGCTAAGGTAAACACAATATTTAGTATTATGAGACGCTGAATAAAAAGGATGTCCAATAAATTAAGTGATATCGGAACTAAAATTTTGGAATGATTAAAAATTATGGGAAGTTTTCGGTTTTTGGGACGGTGGGATCATCGCAATCGAAATTTGTACATCTGAAAAATTCATCAAGATTTGGTGGTTGCATCGTATCTACTAAAAAATAATTTTGCAAACTTTAAAAGAACTTGAAAATCATATGCAACGAAAGGAATAGGCCCAAACACGCAAAGTTGCAATTACAATGTTATTTAGAATAACCCTTAGTTTATCATTATTTAATGCTTTTCAACTGCACATGTTCAACGCAGTCATTTAGCCTGGTATTTCACTACTGCGAAAATCACAGTAGGGTGTTCATTGAGTTATGAATGAGTCTGCCGTCTTGCAGGTGCCTAGGTGCAACAGCAAAGATTTTCCGTTTAGAAGCATGTGAAATTAGTTGTACTTGCAACTGGGAGTCTGCTGGATGAAAAATCAACATTTTGTTGCGTTGGGATTTGAAAGAAACACTCAAAAAATACACTTATTTTTAATTTACTTTACGTTTAGATAAATATGGGCAAAATCAGAGTGCTTCATAGACCTTCCAGTTTATAAACGATTTCCTCTGTGTCTCTTATCATTGGGGCAAAATCGACGACAAAACGGTGTTTGGTCCGATTTAAGCCTAACAAAACTTTACCAGTCTACTCCTTAATCCAAGTCGGAAATTCCAATCAAAATTATCACAAAAGTCCTGATGTTGGTTAAAATATACTCATTAAAACCTAACATATTAATAAATACATTTAATCTGGAAGCAAATGGTACAGTTAAAGCTGTTTATTTCACCCCAAAACGTCTCATTATTGCGAAAGGAAGTGCCGCTTCAAGAACGTGAAGCATGTCAACGAAATAACGCACAAAAAACCTACATAGGTGCAAACAAATTCACTATGTGAGCCAATATTTAGGTACTAAATCGGATTTTTTGGTTTTTTTTATGAAATTGTGGGAACAAATAGGGCTATCGCAATATTTATTCAGCCTAATTTATTTAAGATACTATTATTGTAAAGAAACTGTCTCATCTTTAGTAATGTTTTGTTAGTATTTAAGCACTCTTGACATTCATTTTAAAAGTAGGAGGAGAAATTAACATAAGTAAAATGGAAGAAATATATACGAGTAATTTTACAAAAAATACACCACAATTTTGTCCCTACATTGGTGCAGCTGTGTAGTAAAAGTGATATCAAATTCCAAATGCCTTTTATGTGATACTGATCTACTTGCTAACGTAACCAAATTATTAATTTAATGCTAGTAAGGATATTTGCCGATACTTTTACTTAATAATGGGCTAAATAGTTAAACATGGTGTCTTAGCATCAGGAAGCGTGATGTTATGCAGGGGAAAAGTCAACTGAATTGGTAGAAACGGTAATCCGAAAAAAGTGGTCTGGGAAACAAGACTCTTTTTGGAAAAAATTAGGTATATATTTTAAATGAAGTCCAAAGTTGTTGTTGATGTCCACAGCCGCACGTTATCCATCCACAGAATCTCTTTATCATTTACCTGACTCCCTGAAAATAGGTCCCAACACATTTTCTCTGCCAGACACAAATAGTAAACGGTGCTTATTATTAGGAATTCCCTATTTTTCCTTGCTTAATGATTAAAGCTTACCCCTGTAGATTGATCAGGTGCTCAAAGTTTCAGATTGGCCCTAGAGTAGCCTCACTGCAAGATTCGTATTTATCATTCAATGGGTCTCCAAAATTGTCTTAATGGGTGACTATGATGCAAAAGCACGAATGTAGATACTACATACTGACTTTCTTTTGCGTTTTTTTTGCACTTTTGGCGCAAAAAGTAAAAGAAGTAGGCATTTTACCAGCATGAGGTAAATTATAAAACTGAGTTTCGTTGACTAATTGCTTGCCAATTATCTACAATTGTTATGATTCAGCATACAAAAAGTGATCATCCAATTATAGTATGGTTTACTTTAAATGATTTAGTGAAGGAAATAACATAAAGTTAAAGTAGAAATCTTAAGTGAAAGTTTTTTTTCCTTTCTATTATTCAATTTCTCTGACTTGGAATAAATCGTTTATAGATATGGATAACCTTGTGCCTTAAACCATGTCTATCAAATTTCGCATATGTTCAGACAACGTCATGGAATTTACTCTCTTTGAAAAAAATATATTTTCCTTAAATTCGCTAGTATACGATATTTTGAATTATTTTCGTAGTTGAAAAATTGTTAGTTGGTTTATCTTGCTTAAAATATCTTTCTGGTTTATAAAAGTAGACTAAGGCGTCTTCTCCATAGTTTACTAAAAATATATACATTTGAAGGGCATAAAATTCAGCAGACACGCAGAAGTAAAGCATGTCACATCTTAACAAAACCTTTTGTGTGTATTAGCTCTGCTTGGGAAAGTTGGAAACAGGGATTGTGAGGAATAATGCAGGCGGCAAACATCAAAGGACTGGTAGCCGGACCATGAGAGGGTGGTATGTGTATGCATGGGTTCGCCCAAGCCTCCCTGACTCTCCAGCCTTCTCCCTATCTCCCACCTTTTCTTATCTTATTGGATCATACAGATCCCCTTCCCCTGTCGGGCTGCATTGCATCCATATTGCAAAATGGTCCAGCGTTGCATTTATAAAATATTTAAATTTTTTCATCTGATGTGGTTAATTGCATGACTAAAATGTAAAGTTTACATAGGTAGAAGAGTTCTCACATCCTCTAACTTAGTTTGTAAATATTTTAATGAAGGAAACACTATTTCTTTACTATTAAAAAAACCGTAAACCACAACAAATAACCGAAGAAACAGAACCATTGCACCATTTATCAATACTGATGACTTTTATTATGCATACTGTCAGTAAGGTATTCATTAATCATACTGGCAAGGCATTTCCTCAACACTTTAAAATACGTTTTTTTACAATCTCAATGCTTCTTTATGGTTTTAGCATGACTTGGAAAATAGTAAAATAAGAATAAAATTACCACCTTTAAACGAAATTGCATTGTTTACTAGTGGTCTGTTTTCATTAAGAAAGATCCTCTTTTAATACAAAGTGTAAAACGGCCGGCTAGCTAAATGCGTTCGCAGAGAAACACTTATTTACATTGTTATTCATAATGTCTCGGTTATATTTAAATGATGATCTTTTGAGTAATGGGTATCTATGGCCTAGTACTTTTGCGTGTTAAATGACGAATTGTTGCCAAATAGTTTGGATTTTATTATTTACCCATTTATAATTTGGATATATTGAACCCATGTATATAGAAAAGGATAAAAATGGTTTAACAAGGGGTATGTATAATCTCAAATATAGACAAGATTTTGATATTATCCTTTTATAAACAATTTTTAAGACAGAGCGTTTTTAATTAGAGCTAGCGCACCTTTTAGCGGTTGCTAAATACTGCCCTTGCCAATTTATCTTTAATGATAAACGTGAGTAAGATAATAGGTTGCATTTATTACCTTTTACTAGTCCAAGAACGGTACCCCTCACTCTGGTTTCTGGGTGGCCTTTTAGAGGAGTAAGACCACCTGCAGCTACCTGGACCGCACATAGACCATAAAGGAAACAACCCGCTGATGTAACACTTTATGGTTCTCCTTGGCTCCCTCAGACCCAAATTTTGGTTACACGTGGCAGTGGGTTACTAAGTCAACGCATTCTTGATGTTATTCGTACATTTTCAAAAACTTTTACTAGTTATTTAAAAGCATGGTGAGAAAAATATTTCCACCCAGGATCCTCATACGCAATCTAGTAGAATATTGAAATGATCTGAAAGTTGTTTTTGAAAACATCTCACGATTACTTAGCGATAAAAGGTTGTGAACCAAATTTCACCATGAATCTTTACACAGACTCCCATTTGATAAAGTGCAAACATTTATTGAAGTAAAATATATGTTTGCATTGTATCAGTAAAATGACTGCAATGTTAGCACAATTGGACTCAAAAATACATTACAATATTTTTAATTTAATTAAATGCATCATTATGTAAGGGTATAAGTGACGATTTATTGAACTATTTGGCTTTATTATTTTCAGATTTGTTGGCCGGACATCCTAGACTAAAATCACGCCTCCGAAATAGATTATGCTAAACATGTATGTAAAAATTAAAAATTCCCTTATTTTCTGATTAGGCAATGCAGCACGCAAAAGTACATTGAAAATACAGTTTCCCAATTTGAAAGAAGGATTTCTAGAATAATTTATTTATCCAATTTTTGACCTTAGATTTCATATTTTTAAACGTGATTTCCTTTTTAATACAACATTTTTATTTCTACGTCCTACGAAACAAAATTTTTAACTAACAACATTATAAGTACAGAATAATGACTAAAAAGTGTTCGCTTTTCTGCTTGGATAGAATAAATTTTTGCCACTACATCTTAATCAAAAGGACCAGCAAGTAACGTTTTTGATTCCTAATTGATTTTTCTTTAGGCAAATTTTTACTCCGTTGGGACTCATCACAATACATAACTTTAAGTCGTGCCCTAGATCCACACGCGGAAGTGGCCATTTAATAAGGAGTAGTCAAATCTCATAGTTGCGACAATTTGTGTGAACTGATACAGCTACTGTTCTTTGTAATCATTTCCTAAACATGTAACAGCATGTGATTTAGTTTATTTTTATGAACGAAAATAAACAAAGCATAAGGAATTCCGGGTCACACAGAGTCATTTTTATACATGATACATCTAAGCAAACAAGCGAAATCCAATTTATTTATATCTTTAAAATGGTACTGATGTGCGTTTTATTCGGTTTTAGCAGAGTGATGAAAATAGCACTATTTTACTAACTAATACCGGGGCGATGACTTAAGGTCGGAGTCGGGTTTTGCTTCTCGGGGTGTTCATTTATTTAAGTATACTGCATCGGGATGCTGCAAAGAAATTAAGGTTGACGTGTGGTGTGTGTGCGTGTTTGTATGTGGATGTAATGGGGAAAAACGGGATGGACAAGATCAAAGGCTGCCGACACCCGTTGAGAGCGCACGCACGCCTTATTATTACGTATGTGTGTGCTTGCATCCGCTTCTCGCTTGCTAGCTCTCTTCGCGTATTATCAAGCAATCAATGCAGGCCATTTGCATTTATTTTATTTTAAGATATTAATTGTTTTAAGTGAAATTCAAGTACTTAAGCAATGGTATTGCCACGTGTATATCTACTAAATCAAAATTGTTCGAAAATTGTCAAACTAGTTTATACCATCTATTCAAGTCTGACTTGTTAGTGCAATATTTTGTGTACTTTTGATAAACGCTAAAGTTTTTGGTTGATAATGTCGTTTTTATATTTAAACAATGGTAAATTTAGAATAATGTTGTAAGACGTGGTAATTTCTCAATATAACAAGCTTTAACAGTGTATTATTACCAAAAAATGCAGGGATCGAGAAAGTAAAAATGATTCCAGATTGATTATTTGGTCGCGTTTTAAGCTAACTATTGGATCTTAAAGAAATTTGTAAATAGTGAAGCTAAATTTCGTCTCCAGTTTAAAGAACAGACCATAGGCCGATATTATGCAGGCCTATGCACCGCAGTACTGCAGTAAGCACTTAAAAGTGACTCATTTGCTCTTTTAGAGTAGTTTCAGTAAAATGTGTGAAATTTTTGCCTAAATGTTTTGTAATTCTAAATACATTTATACGCATTGAAGAATTCTGAAAGGACACTAAATTAAAAGATGCCATTGCTAGAAATGGGAGAGTGTTTAGAAGCCAAAGAGTTGAAGCGCTCGAAAAGAGTTGTCAACATCCAAGGGCTGTTACTTTATAAAATGCATGGCATGTCTCTTCTAAGCTGAGCATGTCTAGATATCTTAGTAGGCATACTAGTTAATAGCACTAACGTATTTTGCCTGGAAATACACTATATTTCTACAGATAATTAAAATAAAAATTAGTAAAGTCTTATTTTAAGTAACAGTACCAATTTTGTGACCTGCTAAGAATTGTTACAAGCAATTTGTTGATTATAATGCAAGTCGACTGACTCAAACTGATTTGTTCAGTAAAATAATAAGAGAACAAATCTATCTAGATGATAAAAGATGTTATAACGAAGCAGTAGTAAAATTAATGGCTGATTTGTTTTAGTCTTCTTCAATTTTGCCAAATAATCAAATATCACATTAAGGATGTGAATTGTCAAGAATGGCCCCACAGAAATAAAAGTAGTAGATTAAAAATTAAAATCTGCCATAGTCACCATATGCTTACATGCAGACTCAAAACGTTCAGGAATTTTAATTGCTGGCTAACTACCCCTTATCTTGTGTGACACAAAAAACATCCTCAATAAAAATGACTAAACACACAAATTGATTTAACTATAATAAGGAAGGCTTTAACACTCTGTGGACTTGAGTCGAGATGGATATATTTTTCAGTTGAACCTATAAGAGCAATTAATGGGGAAGGTCTAAAATGTCACTTATAATCGCAAAAAGGCTGCGCAACATATTAAATCTTGTTAATAATTAAACTAAACCATAAAAGACTTTGCTTAAACGTATTCATGATAATTACAAAATAATGAATCATTTACCTCAAGTCATTAACTTATTTATCTCAATTATTCTACTTCCACGGTTTACAGTCCATTTATTTGCAAGTGAGGACTCATTAATTAGACCGTGAATAAAATCGTCATGGTAAAATTAACGGTAGCGATTGTAGGTTTTGGTTGAATAACCTACGAGTTATGTGAAAAAAGGCCATTAACAGTTTTAAATCACCCCATTTTGTTGATATCTTGAGTGTTGTCTAAATTAATTTTTGTCCCAAGTTATAAGAACCGAATTTTCAACAAACTTTTCACCAGTTATTAGTGAAAAGTTTTGTGATCTGCGACAACTTTTCATAAAATTATGGGTTGTTCACTCGGTTTGATAGATTGAAATAATTAAAATGATATTCTAAGACATTCACCTGAAATGAAATGATGAAAATTGTACGAAGAGAGGGGTTCTTTTTTGCGCTTACTTCCTAATCCCTCCCGCCCTGGTTAGCCCTTTCCCTCTATCTCTGTGTGTTTTACAGACGAAAAAATTTGAGTCAAAAGCGCGCGCGCATCATAACTATACGCATACTCAGTTACACAACTTTGCGTCTATTTGAAGTCGAGTTGCTTTAGCGCTACGCTCTCTCTCTATGGGCGGCATCCTTTCATGTGTGCGTGCACGGAGTTTGGTAAATGCGTTGGCTGCTTTTATCCGAAGCGGGATTGTGTTTCTCACGCAGCACACAGAAATGAGAGAAATCTGTAGACGTCCCGTAGCGAGACTGATCAGCTAACCGAAACCACTGTCCTTTTAAACGCGTGATACCTAGTCCTGTTACATGGTAAAAGTTTGTTAAAACTGTCCTTACAACAAGCTAGATTAATTTCAAACAGACCGGCTTGAGTTCGATGGCATAGTTTTTAATGATTTGTCAAGAACAAATTTTGATTCGACACTCCAACTTTCTGAAAATAAAAGCTATTTGTTGAAGAGTGGTCAAACCGTGATAATTACAAACTCTAGGACGGCCTTATTAAACATCATTAGGCTGTTAGTATGGGTTTCTTTCTAAACATTTCATTCATCATTTTATGTTTCCTTTTTTATTTCTGCCTTAGCTGACGAGGGAATCCTCATGATAAAACAAAGGTTGTAGAGTCACTTTTTAATGTTTAAAGTAAAATAAATATATTAAATGGGCCTTTGTAAGTCAAAAACAGCTTCTAGTATTCAATTAAAGCGATTTTTTCTGAAAGCATCTTAAAAAAGTAAAATTTAGTCTAAATGGGTAATTTCCTAACTAGTCTGAATTAGGAATAAATAAACACACTGCGTAACTGTCTAATTTACTCCAAAATAAACCCAAACCAACTATTTGTCGGGAA